TTGATTTCCTAGAGTTCTTCCATCAGATGTGTAAGGGGTTCCTGCCAGAGGTGCCCCCTACAGGGCACCCAGCAGCTCCCTTCCCATTTCAGATGTGCCCTTCAGGCACATAGTTGCACTCATCGAAATCTAGAATCCAAACGGGATAAACTTGCCTTCTCCACAGTGCTCTCTCTAAGTTGTTTCTTTCTTTATAGCACATAACAGTTGATATTTGCTTATGGGAAGCTATAAAATTTTCTCCTAAAATGATTTTGACCTAAAGAGCTCCCATGAATATCAGGAAAGAAAAGTATATGAAATCTGCTCTTGTTATTTATTTCACAATGCTAGGGCTCAAACCCTGTGCTTTTATTCAATAACCCAGTGCATTACCACTTCACTACAACCCGTCTTGCTCTTCTGAACATATTCTAAGAAGTTTACAGTATTAAAAAAACTATAGTATTAAGATTTTTTTAATGAAAAAAAAAGCCAAGGAGATAGCTCAGTAGTGTAAGCACCTGCCTGGCAAGTGTAAGTATTCGGGTTCAATCCCTGGTACTGCCACCAAAACCAGGAGTGGTGGCATATACCAGTGATCCCAGTTCTGGGGAGGCTGAGACAGTAGGATCACTACGAGTCTGACCTGCGTAGTGAGACCCTATATCAAATCAATAAATGAAAGATGAAAAAAAATTAATTTAAAATGAAAAAAAATCAGATTCTTCTTAAAGCACCTGAAGTTCAACACCCCTTTTTCAAATATCTACCTATATCTACATGACACGTAAACTATAAAGCTACAATTTTAAAATGATGGTCCTTCTGCTTATTTTTAAGTATGTTGCTGATCTTTCAGATTACTCTGATTAATACATATTATTATGTCATTTATTTAGTAATTTATCATTGTCAAATACCTAAGCTCCTTCCAATTTGTGAATTAATGTAGGTATCCTGCATTCAACCTCTTCACGTCTATAAACACTCATATGTATTCCTGCCCTCTTAGGACAAAGTGCTAGGAATGAAATGACTCTGTGCTGCCCTGGGATTACTTCTCTTTGCTTCCCCCTCCCTTTTCTTTCCCCGTAGGGACAAGCCAGGGCCAAGGTAATTGGGCTGGACTGTTGGGCTCAAAGGTAGACCCTCAGTGGGGGCAGGAGTGGTGTTAAAGCCTAAGAAAACCTCACCCTGATGGCTGGGATTTCCCCTGCTCTCCCATTTGGCTTCACTGGGGCAAGCAGGTGAATCAAAAATGCAAAGGCTATCGGAAACTACCTTCAACTTTTTCGTTATTTGCTTCCAGAGTGCTGGGTTGTGAGGGGCGGGCTGTGTAAAAGGGCACAGAAAGGCAACTTGAGAACACACTGGGTATTGATGGAAATCAGGGCTCCCCCAACCTGCGTGTGATGGGCCATTTTAGGGATCAACATGACTGGATGAAGAAATACCTAGGAGCGTGGCAAAGCATGACTGTGTCTGTGTCTGTCAAAGTGTTCCCAAAGCTTACCATGAAACTCTGAGCGCACTAGGAGGGGAGGACCTGCCCTTCATAAGCTCAGGCACCACCCAGTCAGCCAAGGGCATGGGGAGAATAAGTAGACCAAGAGCTTGTCTGTCTCTTGGAAGGATGGTGCAGAAATGGTCTCCTGCCTTGGACATCCCAAATCCAGGTTTGCTGCCCTTGAACTCAAGAGTTTCCCCTCCCTGAACTCTCAGCCTTTGGCCTTGAACCAAGAGTCGCAACCATCAGTTTTCTCATTTTGAGCCCTTCTGCCTTGGCCTGAGCTACGCTACTGGTGTCCATGTGTGTCCAGCTGGCTGAGGGCTCCTCTGGCATCCTGACCATACGAGCCAGTTCCCTAGAAAATGCCTCTCCTCTATGTCCACACATGAACCCTTGGTTGTTCCAGAGAACCCTGAATAACACAGAGGGTAAGATCAGCCTTCTTCTGGGCTCACCTGCTCACCAAGTCTGCCATGGAGCATGGGACAAAAGCTTAAGAAGGACAGGTCTTCAGTGCACCAAGTGAGGCCACACCATGGGCACATGTGAAAGAAGACATCAGGGTGATTCCTCCTTCCTCATTCTCTGACTATGTCTACTAAAAACTCAGAATCACATTGACCCTGTGAGGACACAGGCTATTGGCACTTTCTTGCCAACTGGTAGAGGAGCAGTGACATGACATTCATGTTCCGGACTCAGACAGCAACTGACTCCAGAGTTAGCAACACAAACCTGAGCTCACAGCTCGGGAAGCCCTCGTCCTCTGAGACTTGCAAATATTTGCCTTCAAGACGTGGGCACTGCCTGCTTATATAAGTGCTACTTGTCACTCATCCTCTTGGGGCCACCCAGCTCCACATCCCTGCTGTCAGCATCTATGAGCAGGTAGGGAAGGAGGCGATCTAACAATCCCTGACGCACAGAGCAGGCAAGGTACAGCACTGATGCTGCTCCCCTACTCTGCGACAGGAGGCATGAAACCTGTGGTTCTTTATTCGGAGACAGTGTCTTGCTGTGCTGCCTAAATGCCTCCCAAACTCCAGGACTCAAGTGATCCTCCTGCTTCGCCTCCCACCTAGGTGTGACTGCAGCTGGCTGTGTGTTTCTATTATATGTTGGATATCCACAAAAGACTTGGCCTAAAAAAATGTTACTGTTGATTTTGACATCGTTTGAAAACTGCTTATGAAATGGAAGGAAACGTGGGTTTGGGAGTAAGTGGCTCTGGGGCTTTCTGTCTAATTCTGGACTTACATGTGTCTGGCTGACACGTGATGATGCTCATGAGGTACAGAATAGAGTGCCTGGCACGTGCCCAAGACAGTCCTTCCCGTGCCTTTCCTGAGCTCTGCTGGGGAGGAGCCACATAGCTTGGGGCCTGAAGAAGAGCAGCCCACGGGAATGCTATACAGTTGCTTGTCCTGCATCCTTGGGAAAGTTCCATATCTTCCCTGAGCCTCAGTTTCCTATGTGACACTAACAGCAACTTCAGAGTGTTGGTATAACTATCAAAAGAGAAAGCCTTTATAAAAGGGCCAAGCATGCCTGGAACTCAGTAGTAACAATACCGTCTATAAAACGAATTCACAAAAAAATAAAATAAGACTAAATTAAAAATAAATAAATAAATAAATAAAAATGGATTCATGTGATGACCCCTGCCTGGATAGCCCTTTCCTTGGTCATCCATTGTCTCCTCCACCCTATTACCTAAGTTCTGGTCATGTGTACTATGTTGTCTGGAGGTAACTTGAGTTCTTTCCTGAGACAATGGGAGTAGCCTCTAATGTATGGTGACATGTCTTTGAAAAATGTCTACTTCTGACTGAAAAAGAATCCAGCCTGTCAACTGGGAGATGCTGTGGGAGGAAGAAAATGGGCCTGCTTTTGAAGATTCTTTTGGGCACAGTCCCAAGCCAGGGCTACTGTTTACACGGTAAGGAGGCATTTGCCCCATCACATACAGTGCACTTTAGCATTGGGCTCATACATCCCACAGGGACCCACGGGCCTTGAAGAACAAGTCTGAGCCAAGTTCTCCATGCTGAAAGTGATCATAAAGATTCACGGGTGCTCAAAGCTCACCCACAGGCCAAAACATCCTGTTCAGGTCATGCACGGAATCCAGGAAGCTGTAACTACATTGATAAGGCAGATAAAATCAATATTAGTTTTTCTTATTTTACTCACCTTAGTGACAACGCCATTGACTAATTTTTTTTATTCTGACTCAAATTTTAAAAATTATTAATGCAAAGTATCAAAAAGTTGGCTTAAAGTCACCTAACAAATGAATTCCCATGAATAGTTTTAAAAGGTCACAGTACAGCCTTGTAAATGACAAAGAATTTGGGGTTGGTTAGCTGGTTGGTTTTAAAACATGGTCTTGCCTTATAGCTTGGACTCACTTCAAGCTCATTCTATAGCCCAGGCTGGTTTCTAATTCCTGATCCTCTCAGACTCCTAAGTGCTAGGATTACAGATGCGTCCACCACTCTCAGCCTAAGATTAATTTCAATGCAACTTATTCACTGCTTTATTTTTATGCTGGATAAAAATAAATTTGTGATACTCCAAATACTGTGATGCACCCAAGAAATTTTTTCATGTAACACAGAGTTTTGCAAGTAACACAGAATCTTGAGGTTTGAGGCAGTGCTGAATGTCATAATGTTTCCTGCCTGTCTACTTCCTTATCATCAAAAATAAATAATGACAGCTAGGCACGGTGGCGCACAACTGCAATGCCAGCTACTTAAAAAGAATGAGGTAAGAGGACTGTTTGAGCCTGAGCAGGAGCCTGCCCAGGCAGCACAGGGAGAATCTGTGTCCAAAATAAATAAACCAGTTCATGTTGTTAAGTGACACAGCTGAATTGTGTCGCCTGAGTTGTGGAAGCCACATTCACCAATGACAAATGGCATATGTGGGTCTCCTTTACCTCGCAGCATGTTTGGACCAAGGAATCAAGCAATATTAGGGACATCTCAGAGCAGGCAGCTCTTGTTGTGGGGAAGGCAGGCTGTTGCCCCGCAGGGACATTCTAGATTCAGTCCCAGGGACCCTGATGAATCCAGGGTCTTTCATGACTTACCATTTGTTCTTGGTCTGCAGGGACACAGTCATTTTCATATACTGCTCTTCCTTCCGCTCTTCCAGGTTGGCAGACACAAGAGAAAGCTCCCCAAAGAGAGAGACCAGCCAGGTCAGGCGAGAGATGCCGCTGAAGGCAGGGAAGCCAAACCGCTGTTCTTCCAGGGGAGTAGCTGTAGGGAACCACAGTGGGCATGAGCTCAGGAAGCAAGGGGTGGCCCAGGACGAGCAGCCCCAGTGCCGTGAGGAGACAGGGTCAGGAGACACTCCCTGGCAGGGTGTGCACGATGATTGCTAGTACTGAGGACGCTGCAGATGGCTAAATGGAAACTCTCACAGAGGTATCTCTCCCTCTTGCCTGTTTTACTCAGTTCAGTTTTGTTTAAAAAAAAAAAAAGTAATTTTTCAGTCAAGTGTAGTCAATCCCAGCAAAAAATAATAAAGAGTCCCAGGATTCTAATATATTTAGATTCATGTACGCAGAGGAGGGGTGATTGAAAAATGTCGTGTGTGTTTAAATGAAAAATAATTAATTCTAGTAAAAGACACACTGCCATTAATCATGCTCTGTTAGGACACACTTATCCCAGCATCCTTAGTGTTTCTGAAGCAGCTCTGGAGTTCTTTTGGTAAATGTGCATCACTGTACTGCTCTGGCTGCCTCAGGGTCTTGAATCAAGCCAAAACATTCCCCCTGCATGGTCACCTCTATTTTGGGGAAGAGCTAGTTCAGTGTCAGAAAACCAAGCCAATGTGTTTTCTCTTCCTTCATAATCTTGTGTACAAATGAGTGTCCCCATGAGAAATCTGATCACATATAACTCTCCTCTGCATCCAGCCCAAGTTACAAGCAAAATTTAAACAAATTCACATTTGCTTCGGTGCCTTATACACCAAACGTATCTTAGGACTATGGAATTCACTTCAGACAACGACCATGTTCCATAAAAAAAGTTATGCATAAAATGAGTGAAATTACTAGGACCCAGATGTCAAGCTTAGTCAACAACTCTTTCTGGGTTGGCTAGGACCTGCTCTAGAGCTCTGAACAGAGAACTCATCGGCCATCAAAAACCCAGGTCACACCTCAGGCAGGCTGTCACCTGAGTGCTGTGTGACTTAATGTGGCCACTCCCTTCCGTGAGCCTCAGTTTTGTTGCCTGTAGCCTGAGGGTGGCAAACACCCACATTACAGGGCTGTCTGTCCTAGGAATCCTCATTGATCACGTACATCACATTCATAGCACAGCTCCACATACAAATCCAACATGACTGCTCATAGCCACAAAACTTACATACTTTTCATAGATAGCAACCTCTTGAAGTGAGGTTCTGCTGTACTGCCTACAGTAGAGATAAAGTGTTCTCACCACCTGAGAAAGCCAAGCCACATACAGGTCACCTTTCTGTAATACAAGCCCTCAGCAAAGGGGGCCTGACACCAAAGATATCATCTACAGTGACCACAAGAACAGAGGACTCCAGAGCGCTTAGGAATGACCACCATGAAGCAAACGGCCAATTACACATTGCTTTTGATACCACGCAGAAGCTTCTGTCCTTGTAGCTTGCTTGAGGAGGAAAGGCACTATGTATGTTCCATTTGTTCTCAAGGAGATGTATAGAAGAATATCCTCTTCTCTCAGCACCCACCTCCCAGGCTTTTGTAAAGAGTTTTCATGCAGCATCTGCTATATAAGAATAACCTCCAACTGTTAAGATTTTATGAGGGAAAGTTCTGCCTAATAGATTGGTGCACAAGGAAAAGATGCTTGAGATCTCAATCGCACTTCACCTAAGATCCCAGCAATTCAATCTCACTTAAGGAAAGACTAAAACACATATTTTCATTGTCTATAGAAGCATGAAAACAACAACACTGGTCCCAAGTCAGAAGGTCTCCAGAGGAAGGGGATCCAAGCTGAGCAAGAGGCTGGCTGGTCTCCGACCTCACCTGTGACCTGTGACCCTGGACACAACTCACCTGTGAAGAGAAGGGACCCTTTCAGCAGCTCCTTCCCCACCACTTCTTTTTTCAGAAATGCAAATTCCTCCATCAAGAGTTCCACATGCTCTTCATGTAAGACTTTTCCTGGCATGACAAAAAATAAGAACCAGTCACCACCCGGTGTTCAGCTGTGCACCCTAAAGGCTACACCTGTCTTTCTTCAGCATGAGACACACAGCAATTACAATGTCACGGGTAGGTGCCAGAACAACACACACACTGGTGAAGGGGACCCTAGGTCTCTGCTTCTAAGAGAAATGAAAATCTCTGATGGCTTGCACCTGTCCCCAAAGGCAACTTGAAACCAGGGAGGTGCCTGAGGTTGCAAGGTGTTGAGCTGTATTCTGAACAGCAGAGGGCAGTGCAAGACAAAAATAATCTAAGATGCAGAGGGAAAAAAAAAAAAAAAATGACCTCTACAGACGAAGGATAGGACCTAATAGGATTCTTCATTCAAGAGATTGGCACAACCAGATGATTATAAAATGCACCTCCCTTCAGAGAGGAGAATGCCTTAACATTAGTAGTTATAATCTTCGATTCTTTAAAGAAGCTTTAAAAACTGTTAGGTCCGGGAAGCTTTTTCCTGTGCAGGCTGCAAGAATCATAAAAATACCACAAATACATTGTGATTAAGTGTGAAGTCTAAGGGCCGGCCAAATAGTTCAGCAGATTAAAGCTCCTGCAAGCAGGCACAGGGACCAGGGTTTGATCCCCAAGCCTGCCGTGCCAGCCCCGTCCCCAGGGTGCGCTGAGATGGCAACTGAGACTGGGTGTGGTGATGCACGCCTGTAAATCTCAGCTCTTGGAAGGCTGTAAACAGGCGGATCACTATGAGTCTGATCTAGTAGTGAGACCCTGAACACCCTCTAGATCCTTCCCTAAAATAAAAAAAATAAAAAAATAAAGAAAGTGTTAAGTATAAGTGATGACATGTTTCACTGAAAACAGAATCTTGACTTCTTGGGAAATGTTCCTAGGATGGGCACACACTCACACACACACACACACACACACCAAAGAGAGTTCTTTGGACTAAACAGAAGCTTTCTGGTACAAAATGACTTTGTAAAAACTAAATGGCACAACATGATTTGCAATAATAGGATAAGAGCAGAAGTTTCTCTTCCTAAAGTTAGTTCTTCCCACGCATCTGAGGGCCTCCTCGGCATCTAGAAACCTAGACTGCATTTGGGAAGCCAGTGTTCTCTCCGGGAGCCTTACTGTATTAGTGATTAGAGAAACTGTGTTTCAACTGCTTCTATGCTTTTCTGTCACCCAGACTTATATTTTGATAAACAAACATGGTGTCCATAGTATATGTGTAGATTAACATAGATATACAGACAGACAGATAGATATTGATATGCAGTATTCCACGATTTGTTCCTTTCAGAGGCCTAAAAACACAGAGATCCAGGGAAAATAAGCACATCTAGCATCCAAGTCATAGCATCAAAACAGCAGTACTGAGCTGGGGAGATAGCTTGGCAGTCTAAGTGCCTGCCTGGCAAGTGCAAGGACTTGAGTTGCTCCCCAGCACCACATGCTATGCTGGCCCTGCTCCAAGCAGGCCTCCAAAACCGGGTGGTGGTACATTCCTGTAATCCCAGCACTGGGGAGGCTGAGACAGGAAGATCACTGTGAGTCTGAACTGCAGAGCGAGACCCTGTACCAAATAAATAAATAAAAAAATTTTTAAGTTTAAAAAAATAAAAAATAAAAAACACCAGTACCTACGTGGGAAATTGCTAACCCAGGGCTGAGGCTGAGAGTGCACAGGAGTAGCCTACTTTTGTGCCAAACCACTTTGTGCCAGAAAATAAACACTCAAAGAATAACAGAAGCTGCAAAGTGAATCTGAATTGCATGCCAAAGGACATATTAAAATTAAGTCACAGCTTTTAGCCCACTAAAGAAAAACGGGAAGCCATGAGTTTGCAAACTGTGACTCATCAGAAAAGGGCTAAGAATGCACATTCACTTAGCTTCAATCCATCTCCTCCTCGCAAAGTAATCATTCAGTTATGAAAAGGGAAAAAAGCAATCTTCAGTGGAACAGCTTTGCAGAGATCACCTTACGAAGCAGTGGCACTGGCAATGGTGAAAACATAAGTTGGGTGCCACCTGGTAGAACGGAATGTGAGAAACACACGGTATTGCTTCTCTGGTTCTCCCTGGAAGAAATGCCAGGTCTGTCTGCAGATTCTCAGGTAGGATCTAAGACCAGTAGGCTGCTCCAGCATCAGCGTGTCAACCTTGCAAAATGTACCCTTTATTTGTTGATAAACATCTTTACAACTTCTAGAGTCCACATAAGCTACCCATAAAATGCTTCATCGTCTACATTAACCGCTCTTTTACTACTGGACTCCAAATTTACTATATTTTGCTCTCATAAATAATAGTGTGAATATGACCATACAAAAAGATTTCTATGTATTTCAATACAATGAGGTTTACAAAAGACCTAAATTTTTAAAGATTCTCTAATATATATTTTGATTTTGGCGGAACTGGGGATTGAACTCAGGCCCTTGCACTTGCCAGGGAAGCACTTATTCTACTGAGCCATCTCCCCGGCAAATATATATTTTGACTTCACAGACTGTTTATCCAATGGAGTTGCATTTACCCCCTTCAAATTACTCTGCTTCAGTAATTGTGTCAAATTCTATCAGTTCCACTGCGACTGCCCTCACCCTTCTAAAAAAATCACGCAGGGTGGGCTATGTAGTAGTAAGAGTGGTAAGAAAAAGAGACCCCAAATTTGTCACATTGACCATTTTAAAGTTCATAATTATATTTACATTGCTGTACAACAAATTTCAACAACCTTTCTACCTTGAGAAACTGAAACTCTACGTGTCCACTTAGCAATGCCGTGACCCCTGTGCTCACCACGCCCCACTCCCCATTCTAATTTCCATTTCTGTGAGTCTGGCGACTTTACACGCTGCGTACAAGTAAAATCATACAGCGTTTGTCTTACCTGTAAATGTTTTGGTTCACTTAGAATAACGGCCTCAAGATTCACCCATGTGATTGAATTTCCTTCTTTTTAAGACTGCCTAACATTTTGGTAATTATTTTGCTAATTTTCTCCGTCCCTTCACTTTCATCCATCAATGGACATTTTTTGTTTGATATATATATATATATATATATATATATATATATATATATATATATATATATATGCTTTTAATGCTTTACAGTTTTTAAAGTTTCTTTAAAGAATATATATATATGTATATATTTAAATGCAAATACCTCTTGAAAATACTTTTAGTACTTTTTGCCATATACCCAAAATAATTAAAATTATTTTTAATTTGTTGAAGAACCTCCATGTTTTCCACAGTGACTATACCATTTCCATCAATTTTTCCAAATCCTCACTGATACTGGTTTTCTGAGGATTTTTGTTTTACTTTGTCTTCTTGAGACAGGCTCTTGCTCTGCAGTTCAGGCTGGGATTGAGCTCACTTTGTAGCCCAGGCTGGTCTCAAGCTCGCCATCCTCCTGCCTCAGCCTCCCAAGTGCTGGGATTACAGGCGTGCACCAGCACCCCTGGCTCTCAGCTTTGTGGTTATTGACAGTGGCTATCCTAACACATAGGAATGGCATCTCCTTGTGCTTTGGGCTTGCATTTCTTGAATGATTAGTGATGTTGAGCATCCTTTCCTATGCATGTTTGCCATTAATATAACTTTTTTGGGAAAGAAAGTTGAGTCAGGGAATCACTGCAAGTCAAGGCCAGCCTGTACATTTTACACGACAGTGATGAGAGGTGTAATGGCACTTGCCTGCAATCCTAGAGCTCAGGAGGGGTGGGGCAGGAGGATCAGTGTAAGCTTGAAGTGAACGTGGGATACATAGTAAGACCTTGTCTCAAAAAGTGGAAAAAAGAAAAAGAAGTTGAGTCAGGGAATCACTGCAAGTCAAGGCCAGCCTGTATATATGGAGCCCTATT